CTATCTGGTAAAGAGGTTTTGTTCTTAGGTAGTTTTTTTATTACCAATTCAATTTCCTTGCTGGTGATTGGTCTATTCAGATTTTCTGTTTCTTCCTGGGTTAGTCTTGGAAGGTTGTATTTTTCTAGTTGTCCATTTCTTCTAGGTTATGCAGTTTGTTAGCATATAATTTTTCATAGTATTCTCTCATAATTCTTTGTATTTCTGTGGTGTCCGTAGTGATTTTTCCTTTCTCATTTCTGATTCTATTTGTGTGTATGTATGTGTATGTGTGGACTCTCTTTTTCTGTTAATAAGTGTGGTTAGGGGTTTATCTATTTTGTTTATTTCCTCGAAGAATCAGCTCCTACTTTCATTGATTCTTTCTGTTGTTGTATTCTTCTCGATTTTATTTATTTTATCTCTAGTCTTTATTATGTCCCTCCTACTACTGAGTTTGAGTCTCATTTGTTCTTCTTTTTCTACTTCTGTTAATTGTGAGTTTACACTGTTCATTTGGGATTGTTCTTTCCTGAGGCAGGCCTGTATTGCAATATACTTCCCTCTTAGCACGGCCTTCGCTGCGTCCCACAGATTTTGCAGTGTTGAATTATTGTTGTCATTTGTCTCCATATATTCCTTGATCTCTGTTTTTATTTGTTCATTGATCCATTGATTATTTAGGAGCATGTTATTAAGCCTCCATGTGTTTGTGCGCTTTTTCGATTTCTTTGTGTAGTTTATTTCTAGCTTCACGCCTTTGTGATCTGAGAAATTGGTTGGTACAATTTCAATTTTTTTGAATTTACTGAGGCTCTTTTTGTGGCCTAGTATATGGTCTATCCTGGAGAATGTTCCATGTGCACTTGAGAAGAATGTGTATCCTGTTGATTTTGGATGGAGTGTTCTGTAGATGTTCGCTAGGTCCACCTGTTCTAATACGTTGTTCAGTGCCTCTGTGTCCTTACTTATTTTCTGTCTGGTGGATCTGTCCTTTGGAGTGAATGGTATGTTGAAGTCTCCTAAAATGAATACATTGCATTCTATTTCCTCCTTTAGTTCTGTTAGTATTTGTTTCACATATGCTGGTGCTCCTGTGTTGGGTGCATATATATTTATAATGGTTATATCCTCTTGTTGGACTGCCCCCTTTATCATTATGTAATGTCCTTCTTTATCTCTTGTTACTTTCTTTGTTTTGAAGTCTATTTTGTCTGATACTAGTACTGCAACACCTGCTTTTTTCTCCCCCTTTTGTTTGCTTAAAATATCTTTTTCCATCCCTTGACTTTAGTCTGTGCATGTCTTTGGGTTTGAGGTGAGTCTCTTGTAAGCAGCGTATAGATGGGTCTTGCTTTTTTATCGATTCTGTTACTCTGTGTCTTTTGATTGGTGCATTTAGTCCATTTACATTTAGGGTGATTATGGATAGGTATGTACTTATTGCCATTGCAGGCTTTAGATTCCTGGTTACCAAAGATTCAAGGGTAATTCCCTTACTTTCTGACAGTCTAATTTAACTCACTTAGTATGCTACTACAAACACAACCTAAAGATTCTTTTTTTCTTCTTCCTTTTTCTTCCTCCTCCATTGTTTATATATTAGATGTTATATTCTGTACTCTTTGTCTATCCCTTGATTGACTTTGGGGGTAGTTGGTTTGATTTTGCATCTGCTTAATAATTAATTGTTCTACTTTGCTGTTGTTTTATTTCCCCTGTTGACTGCTATTTAGCCTTAGGAATACTTCCATCTATAACAGGCCCTCCAAAATGCACTGTAGAGGTGGTTTGTGGGAGGCATCATTGTATTTTGCACTGCCGCACATGTAGAAAGACTAAGCCAGTTTCACTTAAGCATGCCCTTGATGAAACAGTCAAATTGTTAATTTTATTAAATCTTAAACCTTCAGTACCAGTTTTTTAATATTCCCTTAATACTTTTACTGTGCACCTAAGTGTGGTACTTGTCTCAAGGACAAGGTTTTGAGTGATTATTTGAATTGTGACCTGGATGGGCTAGCCACTTTTTTTTTGTAGAACATTATTATTGCTAGGAGGAACAACTAACAAATTAAAGGTTATTCAGACCTGAGAACTTGGCAGACATTTCTTGAAAATGAAAAGAATGACACCATCACCTCAAGGAAAACTATCAACAGTATTTCTTGCCCAAAATAAAATGTGAACTTTTAAGCAAAATTAGAAAAAAAAACTTCTATTCAGTTCTGTACTGTTGACAGCTTCCCATTAAAGACTTTAATGATGAGATCATTAATATTAGTAAGTGTGATGTTTTGGGATACTGTGTAATGAAATGTGCCAGCCTTTGGAAGATCCTTATAACTCCAGGGACAATATTCCAAATGACCAAAGTGTGATGTTAGAAAATTGTGCATGGATAGAAGATTCATTCCAAGAGCAAGATCACCAGTGGTTTTAATGTGAATCTCAAAGGGCGTGCAACGTTCAGTTTCCACATTTCAGCTGACTTCTAAGAAACAACGATGTGTCAAGTTTTGGGATAGTATTAAAGAAAAAGTACCACCGTTGTCTGAAGTGGCTATTAAAATACATTCCAACCACATGTCTGTGGGAGGACAGATTTTCTTCCTGTACTTCAACCAAAACAACCTATCACAGCAGAATGAATGTAGAAGTAAATAATTCACTGTCAAGCAGGTACCATTGAAGAGATTTTCAAAAAGGTAAATTAGTGCCATTCTTCTCACACTTTATTTTTTGGAAAATAGTTACTTTCATTAGAAAAATCTTACATTAACATGTAAGAGGTTTATTTTTACTTATTTAATAAATATAATAGATATTTTATTTATTAAACAGATATAATCCATGTAAGCAAAAGCTATTTGGGATCCTTAGTAGTTTATCTCTATGAAGGGGTCTTGAAGCCAAGAAGTATAAGAACTACTGATTTGGACCATAAACATAACTACAGAGTTTTGCAAAGCTTGTCACCCTAACCATCCCCAGTAGTGAAGACTTTGTGGTCCATGGAGTTGATTTTGTGGTATTCATAGGGTTTTGAGTAATCCCAGCTTGGGGCCATTGATTTTTAAAAAGAGTAATTTTGGTCAATCGCCTAGAATCCTAGTGTTTTGGAGCTGAAGATATGGAAACTTTGCTGTCTGGACCAGTCCCCTCACTCTGCAGGTGAGACAGCAGGCTGAGGGAAGGGAAGGGAATTATCATACTGAGTTAATGGCAGAACCAGGGCTAGAGGAACCTGATTTCCTGAGGCACAGCTCAGAGGCATTTGGGGAGGCCTCTTGTAAGCAGGTGGGGTTGCTACAATGCTTACCTTTGTCTTAAGTGGATTAAACATTTGCCAAGGTAGAAATTTGATTGACCCATCATCCTGCTCATAAGCTTCCAGCCACTGGCTGTTGATAGTGAAGGAGTCATCCCTGAGCCCTTAACGACCCTTGCTGGACTCAGGAGAGTCCGGGAGAGCATTCAGCCTCTTCTCCTTTAGACTTAAAGCAGTTTTCTTGATTATTCCTGAAAAGCATGGCGGGAGGTGGGGGAAGGATCGGGGTGGAGGCAATAGGAAGGTCAAGAGATTTTCTTCCTGGCAGTAGAAGGAGAAAATACCAGAAGTAAAATGCCTTTCCAGAGAATGTAGGTGGTTCTTATTTATTGTGGTCTTTATAAGTTAACACGTTATTTGCTTTCAGTTTCTGCTGAATTGTAGATTGGAAGAAATATGTGGAAGCATCATTTAGGAGTGATTTTAAGTTACTTGTACAGAAGAATTTCCAGTGCCAGGGGCCAAATCCTGAGTGAGTTTAAGATTTTGGACAAAGTGATACCATATTTAATCTATTTTGTGTCCTTCTGGAAGCAACCAAGGATAGAAAATGTTGACCATGAGGTCACTGCTTTCAGTGCTTTGAGGAATTCCCACCGACTACAGATTGCCTACCCCCACCCGCTATGTGGCCGTGAAACCCATGCACTCCTGTGTGGTGGTACCCGTGTCCCTCTAGGCTCTTGTCCTGGCCCTGCTTTCTCATGGGCAACTTGCAAACTCTACCTGCCGTGCTGGGCTCAGCTCAGGTCTCCACTCTGTGAACCGTCACCTGCCTTCCTGTCCTGGGCTCTTCTTAAGACAGGAATCTTTCTACTTTGGGTGGTTATTGATGTGTTTGCTTTATGTGCCTTGAAACACTGTTAATTTCTAGAGACTGAGGGCCGTATCTGATTCACACTTACTTCTGCCTCTGCATTATCACATTTTATACATGATCAGTAGTATTTGCTGAGTGAAAAAAGTGAATGAGGATGTAGGAGAGGCTTTGTAATCACACCTTGAGAGGGATAGTCTGTGCAACAGACAAGGGAAAACTGTCCTCAAGGCAGGAGGATAAACTAGGTGGCTGTCTGAAGAGAGCTTCTCTAATCGTAGGATTCTATGGCATTTGACTTAAAAAAGAAAAAGTACACCGGAGACAGGCCTATTGTGATACCAAACAACTTTTACTCTGTTTACTTTGCATAAAATTTTCTATTAAGGGTTTGGCTTCTATTTCTTATTTCCCCCATTTGTCCCTCATACCAGTGTCTGTCTTTCACAGTTCCAGTTGTCATCCTTTGTCACTCTGTAGATCTAAGCCATTACACTGGATAGCTCTGTGGTGAGACCCTGGCCCAGACCACTCGGAAGGGATAGCATGCCTGGAGAGAACCCCATCGTCCCTCCAGTCTGATCTCCTAGAGAGATGGGGTTCTTAGCGATGCCACGGGGAGCAGAGCTTATAGTGTAGAGGCTAGAAAAATGGGCTCACGGGTCAGACCATCTGGGTTTGAATCCTGGCTCAACTCTTTACTAGGTGTGTGACTGAGCAAGTTGCTTCCTCATCCGTAAAATGAAGGTAATACGTATCTCACAGGGTTGTTGTGGAAATTGAAGTAATGCATGAAGGCACTTAGTATGTGTTTAATAAATGTTAGCTGTCATTATTGTTAACATGCCCTTGTCTACCTTCTTCCCACGTCAGATGGTTCCAGACCTTGGTCCACCTGTTAAAAGGCAACATTGGCACAGGACTCCTGGGGCTGCCTCTGGCTGTGAAAAATGCAGGCATCTTGGTGAGGTTCTGCAGTGGTGGAGTGAACTATCATGACAAAAAAATTTTAGGGGGTGCTGTGCTTTTTATTTTTAATTTACTTCATTTACAACATTTTAAAATAGGAAGTTTCTTTATTTTAATTCAGGTGAGAAAAATTCAGATGTTCATTCATCTAAAGGTATTTATTGAGGGCCTTTTGTGTGCCAGGCATCACTGTTCTGGGCTCTTTGAATATTACCAGTGAACAAAACAGACAAAGACTCCTGCCCTCAAGGAGCTTACTCTGTGGTGAGGAGGATGTACTTACAATGTCTCAGTTTCTATCAATAATATTAACTAATGAATTAGTAATAAGTCTGTCCATTTTCTACACAGTCCTTCCATGCCCCACCCCTGGGTGGGTGGCTGAGAATTTTACTTTTCTTTTATGATTCATTCCCTATAGACAGCCCATCCAAAGCCATTCCGGTTTCCTTTAGAGCTGGAGATAGCTCAGAGATGTGGATTGTCTTTAGCTACGTCTGTCTTGTCTTTCTTGCTCTGACATAGTTTTAAAGATAACTACCCCCTAACCTCTGCCACCCCTTAACCTCCTTCTTCTTCCTGGACAGTCAGTGGGACCTCCTCTTCTGCTGATCTGCAGCAGTCTTGAAGCAGCTTTATCTTGTGTCATTCTTCTCCATGAGATTAATTCTGTGCTAAAATCCAGATGGTGCCCATTGCACAGAGCCGATGTCCACAGTTGGATTTCTTTCTCTAATACTGTGCCAGTTCTGTTACTGGAAATTGCTTGTAGTCTTTTGATCATTTGCAAATCTAATTTCCATTGGGCTCAATCCTAATTCTGCCTGCTTGTTTCTCCCTCTCTTCCCTGTCCCCAGATGGGTCCTCTCAGCCTGCTGGTGATAGGCATCGTGGCTGTACACTGCATGGGTATCCTGGTGAAATGTGCTCACCACTTCTGCCGCAGGTGAGAGCCCTTTGAGCCACCTCTCAAGGACAAACTGGCCTTCTGGGTTCTGTTACCAACACTGAAAGTGAGCTTACACAGATCACTCTGAGTTCTTTGTGCTAGCTGATGTGGCTGCCATTTGTCACAACGCTACCTTCTCCTGGTTATTTTTGTGTTCTTTTGCAGATGTTGTCATCTGTCATATTTATTTATGTCCAGTAGCCAGAGACTGCATTCTAATTTTATATGGTTAGTAATATTTATCACACTGAAATGATGCTACCAGATGGTTGTTAATTATGAAAGTAACTGTCCTGTTGACTTAACATTTCTTATCCTTGAAAGCATTAGCTACAGCACTCAGTGGTTTCTCCAGGGTAACAGATGGGGGAGTTTGTGAGTTAGATTTGTCTGTCACTGTCATTGTCTAACGTGCACTCTCTGCCCTTCCTCTCCCCCTGACCCGCCTCCTCCCAGACTGAATAAGCCCTTTGTGGACTATGGGGACACAGTGATGTACGGCCTAGAATCCATTCCTGTCTCCTGGTTCCGGAACCATGCGCACTGGGGAAGGTAATGGGTTTCTGCTTTGATTGCAGCTGTGGCTTCTCAGTGTGAAGGCCTTCAGACAGGGAGGTGTGAGATGTGGGACATGGTGTAAGTAGTGAAAGAACATTGTTTGGATCACAGTCATGGCATCTCGCTCAACTCTGCCGGTGTAATCTGTGTGAACTTGGCTGTGTGACCCCTCCCTTCTCTGGGCCTCTAACTAGGCACTCCAGCTTTAACAGCATATGACCAGTAATTTAATCTTTTTCACTTATTCGCTCAACAAAGATATTTAAGCATTCTTTTATAAGTGGTACAAAGCAATTCTAGGCATGGGGAGGAGATTCCCCAAGGTAAATTATAGAGGGCTGGACCTCTAGGGACTGTAGTCTCTGTCAGGAGAGAGATGTGCGGGAAGCTCGACAGCAAGAGGGCAGGCAGGCCAGCAGAGAGAGTGTCATAGTCAGGAAGTACATCTTAGGGGCTCGGAAGGGGAGAGCTTTTAAGGTCCTCTTGTCCGCCGTGCCAGATGAGGAGTGCACATGCTAGGTGCTATAAGGGCAGGGTGCTGGGCAGGGAAAGGAAGGCTTCGAGGAGGATTGAGGTGATCTAGAACAAATGGATTTCTTAGGGAAAGGGATGTTGCAGGAATTTTGGGGGTGGGTGTTTGGAAATTTCTCCTTAGGGTAACTTTCAGATGCCTGAAAGGAAATAGTCTATATTTTGTTTCCTATTTGAGGAAACAAGTATATTTAGGTGTAGAGAATTGATGCCATCAAGGGTTGAATTTTTTTTTTTTTTTTATTGAACAACATTAAAACTTTGTTCTCCAGAAAACCTCTTCTGTGGTTATAGGGAGACTTTCTCCCTTCACATACCCAGCTTCCTTATGTGATGCAGGTTCGTGTGATTCAGGAGACTCACCTGTGACAGGGAGGAGTGGACTGCCGCGTGGCTACGCTGGCCGGCCAGCGGGTCTCTGACCCAGTGTCTTTCCTCCCCCTCCCCCTCTCCCGGCCTCTCCCACGCTCCCTCTCTTCCGCTCTCTTGTTCTTTTCTCCCTCCGCCTCTGCTTTCCCTCTCCCCGCCAGCCCTTCTTTCCTCCCTCACTCCCTTCTCCTCTTTAATAAAATTAATGTGTTCTTGTGGTGAAAAAAAATTTTCTGAATGAGATAGAGGAGCATAAAGTGAAAAGTAAAAATATATTCTGGTCACAGTTCTGTGGGTACCCTTTTGGAATTTTCTGTATCTTTGCAGACACACCCATTCTTAAGAGTTTTGGCACATACTATGCACACTGTCTGGAAATTTCTTTTTTTCCCTTAAAGGTCTTAGACATTTCTCTGTCGGCACATATAGATCTAACATATTCTTTTGCCTGCTGTATACTATTCCATCTGAGATGGCCTGTAATTTAATCATGTTCTTTTTGATGACCCTTTAGGTTAACAGCAGCTGCTGTTGTTACAGTGCTTCAACCAGCAGTCTGTTTGGGTACATCTGTTCTGGGGTTCTTGGCTCCAAGTTATGGAAATTGTGACGGGTCCACTTCGTGTGCTTTTAGGCTAAGGGCACCCTAAAGCTTTAGTTCCAAATGGTGTGAAATGGGATAGGAGGCCCATGGAGAAGGGTGGTGGGTTGTCCCAGGGGCTAGGCAGATGTCCTAGTGTGTGTGTGTGCTCTGCTCCAGCCAGCACAGTCTCGGGATTGCCTGACCCCATGCAGCATTGGAAGCAAGAAGCCAGGAAAGGGACCTTAGAAACCACAGACAGCACTTCTTTCTCCCTCCTCCCAAGCTCCAGATGGGTGGCACCTAGCATAAGGCACACACATCCTTGTCACTGAATGGGAACGGTCTGTGATGACTTGGGAAAAAGCACTGTTCAAACAGCCATCTCTCTGGGAGTTTCAGTTTTTATAGTCATAATCATTGTATTTTTTCCTCCCCACCTACAGGCACATTGTGGACTTCTTCCTGATTGTCACACAGCTGGGATTCTGTTGTGTCTACTTTGTTTTTCTGGCTGACAACTTTAAGCAGGTAGGGCCCTGGTAAAAAATGAGAATGGCAAGAGATAAGTGGACTCTCTGTTTAGGATTCCTTCCAAGCCAGTTTTGGTCAACAAAAGAATTAAGATTCTAACACTTTACATAGAACAGTGTCTTTTGTTTGATTTCCTCTAAAGACCTAGGGTGTCCAGAAATGTCAGGATGTCTTATCTGTCCTCCTGCCTTTAGGTAAGACATGATTCATCCCCACCCAGACAATTGGTAATGATAATGCCAGAGTCCACCAAAGGCTGTTCACCAACCACAGACCTCTCTAGGGCCTTGTTCACATACTGAGCCATTAGTCAGGAACCCCTTCTGGTGGGAGGTCCACGGCCTTTGGGGTTCAGAGGCTTTTCCGCTTCTTTTCTTCACCTCATTCTAGGTGATAGAAGCGGCCAATGGGACCACCACCAACTGCCACAACAATGAGACGGTGGTCCTGACGCCCACCATGGACTCACGCCTCTACATGCTCACCTTCCTGCCTTTTCTGGTGCTGCTGGTTTTCGTCAGGAATCTCCGAGCCCTGTCCATCTTCTCCCTGTTGGCCAACATCACCATGCTGGTCAGCCTAGTCGTGATCTACCAGTACATTGTTCAGGTAGGCACCTGGGTTCCCCCCATGCCTATTAAATAAATAAGTAAAGAGAACAAGTAAGTGAGACAGAAGTAGAGATGTGTTACTTATGTGTAGCATGTTTAGACTGCCAGTTCTCAACTCCAGCACTACTGACATTTTGGACCAGATGACTTTGTCATGACCAGTATCCCTGGTATCTACCCACTAGGTGCTAGTAGCAACCACTCTCCACATGGTGACAACCAAAAATGTCTCCAGACATTGCCAAATGTTCCTGGGGGTCAGAATCACCCCCACAGAAATCAGTGGTTTAGACTGTTTCCCAATTAGATAATTAATAGATAACCATTGTATAGTATTGGAAAATAGAGAAAAATATTAAGATGACAATAAAAATCAACTTGTCTAACCTATATTTAGGTATAATAATTCCTTGCCACTCCAGTTTTATATTTGTCAGAATTATAAATCCAGTCATTGTTCCTCCTTGCATAGCCCACGTGGGCAGGTATGGGGTCGGACAAGAAAGGGCATCTGTATATAGGTGGGTGAAAGGTCAGGCTGAAAAAATGGACCCTTAAGCCCTGTGACTGTGAACAAAACAGTGCATTTTTCCAAGACTTGAGAAAAGGAAAAGAGTGAAAACAGGTGAATAAAAGCGTCATGTAAAAAAAAACATTTAAATTTAATTCCCTAAATAGTTTATCAATACATACTCGTTAAAATGCAGACAACACAGTACTTAGACTGAGTGCCACATCCTCACCCTGAGTTTCCTCCTCTCAGGAAGCCCCCAGTGTGATGGCTGTGTCTCCGCCTAGGTCCTGTGAATGCTCTTACACATTGCATTAGTATGCAGAGAAGTATATAAAATATAAAATTTTTTTTGTGTGTTTTTTTAACATAATTTTAAAATTATTATATGTAGTGTTCTTCTACCTTGCTCTTTTCCCTCGACAGTGCCTCAGAGAACTTTCCATGTTGTGATAGACCTAGTTTTACCTCATCCTTTTTAATGGCTATACAGTATCTTAGAGAATAGATGTGCCATAGTTCAGTTAACCAGTCCCCAGTCAGCAGACTGTCAGGTCCTTTATAATTTTAGTATCCTTTCAGGATTATGACAGTGAGTGTTCTTAGGCCTTCCTTTTTGTGAACATGTATAAATATTTCTCCAAGATATTTCTCTAGAGATACAGTTGCTGAAAAATATGCACTTTTGAACTTTTTCTATTGCCAAGTGGCTTTTTCCAAAAGCAATTTACAATTTCATGTAGACTCCCTTCCATACACAGCATGTAAGTATCCTACCCTAGCCAACAGTCTTTTTCATTTTGGTCAGTCTGACAGGTAAACATTAACTCATTTTCATACAGTCTGCCTAACAGTGAACCAGTCACCCACTGATGTAGTTTCTAGGAAACAGTGGTCATAAATGCAGGACTTCCTGTACTGAGGAAATGACATAATAAATTTGTATTAACATTGTATTCAGTGAGCATTTACTGTTTTTTCTTGTCTTAGTAAATCAGATGGGTGGTAGATAGTGACTGTTCTGCTGCAGAACTATTTTTTAAAACACAGCATAGTCACCTGTCTATGTCTCATTTTTTATGGGACTAGAAGGAAAGACCTGTAAATGCATGCTTGACTATTTCCAAAGTGTTTCTTTCTCTGCCATTAGCAAATTAAATTAAAACAAGGAAGGGTAAGTAAACGCATGATTTAACTTTGTAATTAAGATCTCAGTCAGTGCCTAGGACACACTGCAGTGGACATTAAAGATAAAGTGAGTGAGGCCACCTGACATAGACACACGCACACTCTGCATTTAGTTTTAAACCACTGCAGGTGGTCAGAGTGTTGGTGGTTGCCATAATCAGAAGGCTGGGATGGGAATGTGAATTCTGATAATATCTCAGTCCCCACTGAGAGTAGTTTTGTCCAGAGCATTAACTATGCATAGTACAACCTATTTTGAGATGAGACATCCCTCTAATTTCTGGAGAGCAATTCTGAGCCTGCATCTGACTTGCCCAAGAAGTACTCTGCTCTGTAGTGCTGTCTGCCCTGGGAACGGCATGAGGGGATAGTGGTTTGGCTGTGTGCAGAGCAGCTTCACTTTGATGGGCCATGTAGCTGAAGGTGTGCCCTCTGGGTCTTTTTTGTTGCTGCTCTTACTGCTGTTGTATCCTGGCATTTTGCCCTGGTTACCATGAAGATTCCCCTGCTGTCCAGTGTTCCTGAGTTCTTACCTAATCCTCAGCATGTATGTACCAAGTGCTCTTGCTCCTCATGTTCACACCATCCTGGGAAGCCAACCGAGATCTTTCCGCTGAGCAGGTTTCCGCATACCCTGGTCACATGGAACAATGAATGGCACAGTTCTGAGCAGAGGGTCTTGCCCACAGGGGATTCCAATAAATGTGTTATCACTGCATGTCCTTAATTCAAAGGTGCATTATTTTCACAGTTACAACATTTCCAGAATCAGAGTACATCTTGCAATCTTTATGTAATTTAATAGCATTTTCTCAAAAAGCTGTTATTATTGTAATTATATAGTATTATATATGATGATAGTATACACAGTGATAGTGTTATAGAATTGAGGAGGCAATATGTTAAAAGTGAGCTATTTTATTTGATATGTTTCTTTGCAAATTAAACTTTTTGTGTTTAGTTGGTTGAGTTATAAGTCAGTGACAATCATTAAATATGTAGAATCATAAATTCCTTCTGCTGGTCTCATTCATTCCAGTGTCCCCAGACATGTATTCTGAAATTCCCATTCTGAGACCTCAACCTGATCTGAATATGAACCTGGGCAATAGTCATCAGCTAATCAACATATCGCTTCTTTTTCCAGGAACTTAAGTTACACTGTGACTCAGGAATAGTTACAGAGCATTCTCACTCTCTTGTCTCATTGTAGAGCAAAAATATTTATTAGTCTGGCTTCACCCCAACTACTGAAATGCTTTTTATAAAGATATGTAACTAATTTCTTAGTAAGGGCTCCGAAAAAAGTATTTTTAAAAAATTATTTATATTTTAGGGAGACTATAGTCTAATTGTATTGAAATCTTTAGAAGAGAAGCCCTGTTGTATTATGATTGGCACACATGGTGTGGTGGGGATCAGTGGGAAGACAGTGTAGCACAGAGAAGGCAAATAGTGACTCTGTGGCATCTTACTTCACTGATGGGCAGGAACTGCAATAGGGTATTTGGGGACACGGTAATATGGGTGAATGTAGTAACCACATTGTTTTTTCATGTGAAACCTTCATAAGAGTGTATATCAATAATACCTTAATAAAAATAATAGTAAGAATATAAATCAAATATAAAAATCAAACGAATAATCGTATCTGACTTGATTGTTTATAGTTCATGATGCGTGATCAAAACCGAAAGTTTCTTCTTCTGCATTCGTGGATGTTTTATTCCCCTTGTCTAGCTTGGATTAACACATAGTCTACAGGCACACACCTGATCATCTACATTTGCTCTCTTACAACACTAAACTATGTTTTCTACCTTTATCTTGCATCTACCTACCACTTCAGCATTTTATTTAAAATAAAAATAATAATAATAATAAAGGGAGAAATGTGGG